GGGCATATCGTGTAAACAACATTCAATTAAGGACATACCATTCAAACAACATTCAATTGAGGACATACCATGCAAACAACATTCAATTAAGGACATATCTTGTAAACAACATTCAATTAAGGGCATATCGTGTAAAAAACATTCAATTAAGGGCATATCGTGTAAACAACATTCAATTAAGGACATACCATTCAAACATTCAATTGAGGACATACCCTGCAAACAACATTCAATTGAGGACATATTGAGGACATACCGTGAAAACAACATTCAATCAAGGACATATCTTGTAAACAACATTCAATTAAGGGCATATCGTGTAAAAAACATTCAATTGAGGACATACCGTGCAAAAAACATCTTACTGAAGACATACCATGCAAACAACATTTTTTAAAATTTACAATTGAGGCTATAAATACCATGCAAACAATATTCAATTGAGGTCATATTGCAGAGTGTACAATTTACATGCGCCTGATCCAATCAGATTTCAGTCATGTGTTTGTCTTCTATTCTGAACCAATAGAAATAGTATGGCGGTAACATCTATCAATCTATCTATCTCATTATCCAATCAGAGTTATGAATCCTACAATCGGCGCTATCAGTAAATGGAAATATTTATTGCAACTGAAACTATAGCGCGCACCATTCAACTGAGATCAAAGACTTTCATAATAATATACGTATTAGCATAGCATAAGTTTTTTTTGCTGCACACCTTAATGTTTGATCTAGATGAGACCCAAGGTTGACCGCAATATTGTATTCTTGAAGCGCGAGGTCGTCTTCCTTCCTTTTAAACAAATCATTTCCCAGATTTCTGTGTTTTGCAGACTCCAGTGGAGATTTTTCACAAGAGTTGATCTTCAGGTTTTCTCTGTAGAATCCGGTTCAAACATTTTTAAATTAAATTAGGTTGGAAATTTTATCTCTTATTGATAAATATTAAAGTTTGAAGATTTTTGATATCAAATTTTATACAGGGTGCCATACAACATATATAGTGTATAGCTGTAAATAGGGGACATGGAAGAAAGGGAATTGAGCCTTTGCCACAAACTCTAATTTTTCTATTCCTATATCTTTGCAATCTAATTTCGTATACTTTAGATATTTCAAACTTTGAAATCTATTAGATCAAAATAAGTTTAAGATATCAAAGTCATAAGGTTACAAAGATATAGAGATTCGAATATTTAATTTTGTGGCAAATACTCAATTCCTTTCTATCATATAACCGAATAATTTTCTTCTCTAATTTTGTGGCAAATACTCAATTCCTTTCTATCATATAACCGAATAATTTTCTTCTCTCCTACTTGTGCGTAAAATCTAAACCGGAGGAGCTACGAGGTCACAAAGTAATATCAGTAATATCGCATGAATGTTAAAGTATTCTATAAAATCCACTTTTTGTTTTTGTTTTACACTGTATACAAAGAGAAAATGTTCACGATTGAAATAGATTTGAGGCGCAAAGCTCCCTAAAAGCCCAGTCTTTTTAAACTCCTTTTATGAACCCTTCCTTACAAACTCTCTTACTTCAGCGCACTGGAGAAACACGTCTAACTTCTCACTAAAACTATTTAACTTTGAGAAGTTTTTAAAGATAGATTCAACTTTATCCTGAAAGGTTTCCATGGCAAGGGAGAGAGACAACTATAGCTTTCCCAACCTATTCTCAGACGAGCGGCTAGTGCTTAGGAGTGTACACGGAGCCGGGTTCGGGAGAAAGCTTATTCTCCAGGTGCTTGTTAGAACACAACAGGTGATACTTGAATTGTTCTGTCTAACCGGCCCACCACTAGAACTCAGAATGCTTTTATTTAATTCTGCCAAAAATGACAATTTTCGATTTACAACGATATGCTTTGTCTGAGCATGTAATAATTAAAAATAATTTTTTTTTAAATTTCGAAAAATTATTATTTTCAAATTCTAGTTTCAATACAAAAGAGATTCGAGAATTTCTACTGAAGGAAAATATATACGGGGTGTCCCAATAAACATGGGAATTACGTGACGCAATTATATCGTCTTCGATCCATGCGGTATTTTTTGATGAACACAATAATTGCAGTTTACATATCTAATATCGAAAACGCCTGGTCTTGAGATTTTCAAAATAAGGTCTATCATTTTTTTTCTTAAAAATTGACAGAAATATTGTAAAGGAATTAAGTCTTTGTCACAAGCTCAAATTTTCTAATCCGTATATGTTAACAACTAGATAGTGTAAACCTTTGATATTTCAAACATTGATTATTTGATTTACCAGAATTCATAATTTGAAATATCTAAGGTCTATGACATTGGGCTACAAAGATATGGGGATTAGAAAATCTGAGTTTGTGCCTGAGACTCAATTCCTTTGTACACATTTCAACTTATTTCATAAATCAAACTAGTATTAATATCTAATATCTTCGTCAGTTTTTAAAACACGAGCTAAGGTCAGACGAACTGCATTTTTATACTTTCTTTCCCATGCATTAAATATCAGAAAAACAAGACTTTCAAAGCTAGAAAAACAAAAATCCTCGACATTATGCATTATTGATGAGTTAATGGTTTTAAGGGTAGGTTGTGAATCTGTCATCTTTACATAGAGACTCACTTGAAAATACGCGTACAGTCCCTTTCACTAATAGTATCCATGTCTATATTTTGCCAGAGTGAACAATTTTCCACAATGTAATAAAAGTAAGCTTAGAAGAATCAATTTTAGAATATGATAAACATCTCACCTCTATTTCTGCATATTTTGAGTAGTGAAATATAAAACAGTCGAGAAGAACTGTTTTAAAATTCCTTGATGTTATATCAGGAAAAATGGATGGGTACTAAACAAGGTAATAATGGAAAAGCATTTTATCAGAAAATTGAAAGTGTACTCAAATATTTCATCGCTGTGTTGGCGGACAAAATTCAATGAATATATCACAAACACAGGAATATATTCTTATTCTCATAATTTACAGCTTTCCCCACCAATGCATTTTCATTTTCCATCCANCCCCCCCCACCCTACATAGTTTAAATTTCGACGATCTGGAGACTTTTGAATGAATGCGACTATTTCAAATTTTCCGTTGGTTACCTGTCCACTCAAAAGTTTCAAATCCAGACAGGTTTAGAATCATAAAACGGGTCTATGTGATCGAAATGTATGTCCTAAAGTCGTTAAAAATATGTAAAAAGAAGGTTTATTTTTTCTCTAAAATTCTAATTACTTTTTATATTACTAATTTAATTTTTTATTTGTCATAGAAAGTGAGAAGAAATCTTTAAATTAGTAATTTTTCTCAACAAAAGATTAATTTTGAAGAAAAATCGAACTTAACTGAAATATTATTATTATCCAACGTTGTTTCCCATCTATCTATATATCTAGACTTTGCTTGTCTTTGAGTCTGACTGCTTGTTTGTATCCGATAAACAGCTGAACTGATCGAGTCCAATTTTTACTGTGGCAACTCACATGAACCAGGTTCGGGATGGACAAAGATAAAAATTACAGCCCAGAAAAAATTAACCGACATTTCTTATTTTTTAAATTTCCCCAAAACGGGGAACAACTAAAATTATTACTAGAATAGGGTCGCGAAGCGCCCTGAAAGCCTAGTTATATTAAATGTAGAGCCCCCCCCCCCCCTAATCTCAAGATTTAAACGGATACTCATCAAATTGTAATGTCTTGGCATAACTTAATTCTGAGCCCCCCCCTTCCTCCCCCCTGCTGGCTCTCCAGGCATTGCTCTGCACTGACATCAAGTTCCCCTTACTTCAATTAAATGGATATATGATATTTTTGAGAACTGTTTATATATTCAACACTTTACGGGGATATTAATGTGAAACTCTTTAAACTATTTTTAGATTATTTCACAAAAGATATTACTAACAAAAAATAATGAGATTATCGCTCTTGATCTTTCTTTGATTAAGTGTTAATTTCAGGGCGCGTACACAGGGTTTTAGCCAGGGGGGGGGCAAGATTTAGCGCGAAAATTGTTTTGTTCAAAAAGTCAATTAACACCATAAAAATACATCAAAAGGACTATCATATTTGGGTGTTACTAACCTTATTCCTTTGCTCGAAAACTAACTTTAACTTTTTAACTTTATAAATTTATAAAAGAATTGAGTCTTTTCTAATCACATATATCTTTGGAATCAAATGTTGTAAACCTTAGATATTTCAAACTATGAGTTCTGTTAAATCAAATGGTCTGAGTTTGAAATATCAAAGGTTTACAACATCGGGTTCTAAAGATATTGGGGTTTAAATATTTGATTTTGTTCCAAAGACTCAATTCCTTTATTACTTAACTCCATCACAGCTAACTATATCAATAATCACAGCATCATTAAAAAATCATATTTTAACTAATAAACGAAAGAACGAAATTTCTTCTAAAATTTTTAGATAGAATTTACTCTACATATACATACATCTACATATTCACCAACTCTCTTAAACTTCAATTTTCTGGAATTTGCTTGCACAAACATTTCAATGATTTTCTCAATAGTGAGCCATAAGTGCAAGATCGTTAAGTCTGCTCTCCGTCATAGTACATCTTGTGTAATGAAGTATTCTCTTTAGAAGGCTAAAATTTCTCTTTCCCTCATTCAATGTTATTGTCATTATTGCATAAAGGAGAACTTGAAATTACGCTTAATATCTCTTTATGGAAATATAGGAATTGAGTCCTTGCCACAAACTCTGATTTTCTAATCCCTTTATCTTTGGAACCAAATGTTGTAGACTTTAGATATTTCAAACTATGAATTCTGTTAGATCAAATATTCTGAATTTGAAATATCAAAGGTTTACAAAGGTTTCAAAGGTTTGAATATTTGAGTTTGTGCCAAAGACTCAATTCCTTTAATAATTGACTGTAAGANATGATCTAAGTGTTTGTATAGGATAGACTAAGGGTTTGTGTAGGATAAACTAAGGGCTTGTGTAGAATGAACTAAGGGTTTGTGTAGGATGAACTAAGGGTTTGTATAGGATGAACTAAGGGTTTGTATAGGATGAACTAAGGGTTTGTGTAGAATGAACTAAGGGTTTGTGTGGGATGAACTAAGGGTTTGTATAGGATGAACTAAGGGGTTGTATAGGATGAACTAAGGGTTTGTGTAGGATGAACTAAGGGTTTGTGTAGGATGAACTAAAGGTTTGTGTAGAATGAACTAAGGGTTTGTGTAGGATGAACTAAAGGTTTGTGTGGAATGAACTAAGAGTTTGTATAGGATGAACTAAAGGTTTGTGTAGGATGAACTAAGGGTTTGTGTAGGATAAACTAAGGGCTTGTGTAGAATGAACTAAGATATTGTGTAGGATGAACTAAGTGTTTGTATAGGATGAACTAAGATTTTGTGTAGGATGAACTAAGTGTTTGTGTAGGATGAACTAAGTGTTTGTTTAGGATAAGCTAAGGTCTGTGTAGGATAAACCCATCATAAAAACAATAAAAGTATAGAAAAGTTCCTGACAAAACCTTCTCTAATCCAGGATTAGGAAGGACAGTATCCAACTTATAACAAATGCAGAAAGTTCTAGAAAACAAAGAAAATATAAAACTGAAGAAACACATGCTCGCTGGACACTGCAGTTAACCACCTGAGTCAGAAACTTAAGACAAGATATCATTTTTAAACTGGGTTTGATAAATGCAGTTTTGCTGCATATATTAAACCCAGTTTTTAGTTCTCTAATCAGTTTGTTCTTGTTTTCAGAGAAATATCTAAGCAAATTATAAGACTGAAAACTTCTCCAATAGGTTCAATTCTTTTTAGATTGTATTTAGTCCCAAGCTTTAGCAATCCCAAAAGGAATGTCTTTTAAATTGTTCAAAATCTAAACAAAATAAGTTAAACTTCAAGTTTTGAATGAAGTTGGTTAAATTTATTTTACAATGATAGAAGGAATTCTTTATCATGAATGTAGATTGTAGAAATGACAAAGGACAGTTTGATGGATCGAAAATAACTTAGTCTCAAAGTTTTTTTTTAAGGAACTGGAAACCTGTCCTAAATGGGATAATCCTAATATCTTTGAGTCCTGACGTCGTGGACCTTTAATATTCAAAACTATGAATTCTGTTGGATCAACCACTTGACTGAAGCATCCAATTCATCCAATCAAAGGGATTGTAAAGATGGCAATGTCCGATTAAGATCGGTGCCATAATTTTGAAAATTAATTTTATTCTATTAGAGTTTCTCTACAAAAGTGACTTGGGAAATTGGTTTAGTCTAACGTGGGCGCTGCGTTGGTTTTACTTTGAAACCGGAAACAGCTTTTATCATAGAGAAAAACATTTTTTTTTTTAAAGGGAGTGTTCGCGAAAAATGAAAGGGGGTATAGGCTTAATGCGATAAAAAAGCGCTTTTGATCGCTACTAATCTTACTTCTAGCTGTTGCGTCTATAAGGAGAAAATTGTTAAAAACGACTAATACCGAAGAACTTAGTGTCCATAAAAATTCAGAAAGATGCAACATACGACTTGGACCGTAAAAAATTTTAGTTAATTTCAAACAAATCATTCAGATATTACAACCTATAGCCATCGATTATCTTTCGCCACATTTGTATATAGTTGATTCTTCATAATACCCCCTTTCATTTTCTGCGAACACTCCCTTTAAAGTAAAAACAAATT